AAGAGAAGAGATCACCACCGCAAAAGGAGATTCATTGCTTCGACAACCAAGCAGCATAGCACGATGACCGGCTGGATTGTCATAGAAAGAAAGCAAGTTATCGAGGAGGCACTGTGTAGGTAAGTCCTTTTCATTGGATCGACTTCTTTCTTGCCCGCAGGAAACAGTCCCAAGTATCTAGCAAGTCGCGATAACTGGCCATGATTCAGAGTTGCAAGGTAGGCATCGAAAGACTCCAGCATCTTCGAAAGACAACGTCTCTTCCTCGTTGACCCCAAGCACCACTCTGTGTAAATTGCTTCGACTGTTTCCTCTTGCACTTGCCTTCGCAGCGTCTCCTCTTGCATTCGCACTGGTCTTGCGCAATATCTCCAACCTCGACAACAACAGACCATGTTTGCTGCGAAGATAGATTGCTCCTGGACAGCTATATCCAAGATGTTTGTAGCAATCTTCACAGTCACCAACTATATTGCCTTGCTTCCATTGTAGGTGGCACACCGAATTCGTAGCACGAACCATCATGTCTGCGACTTGGTCGTGTGTTACGTCCATCTTCTGCTTGCACAGGATCTCTTCGAACGGTACCTTGTTCCCTTCCAACGATGCCAAAACAAGTCTGATCCTTCTTTGATCGATTGGAATTCCGATCTTGCGTCCGACATTAACTAACCAGCTTGAAGGGTTATCGTAGGCATCCTTTCCAAGTGCCACCACGTCTATGTTTTCTCTCAAGAACCCACTAGCGGCAACTGCAAAGATAGATGCACTTCGTGGTATCTCGATGGTACATGGATCTGACCGTACGTGTGCATCTTCTTGTAAGAGTCGTGGGGCGGTATGGACAAGGAAGGCTGCAAGAGAGGCATTCTTGGAGCAATCGGATGCCACACTCTTTATTCCATGTCGATTGAAGCTCTCGTTAGGACAGTTCGATGGGTACACGCCAACTTCACCACTGCATGCATAATTCCAGTTCCAACGGGGAAAAGTGCAATACTCCTTTCGAAGGTGATCCGCCGCGTCTTTCTCACCTCGATTTTCGCTCCAGTCTCGAAGGTACAGATCAGTCACAGTTCTCCTCTGGTCAATCGTTTTCGTACTGCCGATGTTGCACACATGTCGATACGCTGTTCCCTTCGGAGCAGCAAATGTCTTACTCTTCATCTTACCAACGTAGCTCTTTCGTTTGGCAAAAGCCTGCATGACATGAAAGAAACAATTAAGTACAGCTTCGCCTTCAATACAATCGTCATCACTGTCAGTACTGCCAGACGTCTTCAATGCGACTGCTTCATTGTCTCCCATTATTTGTGTAAGAGGCACTTCAGCATCGAATGGAGGAGAAGGTGGGTATTCTTCGATTTCTTCCACTGCGAACTGTCGTTGCTGGGAAAAAGGATGTGTTCCATCTTCGTTCGATGGGGCATCGCATAAAGCCACATTTCTCTTGAAGAAGACGTGGGAGTTAACGAATGTATCGGCATCATCACTTGTTCCCCAATCAATAGCAAAGTCGACACCAAACATCCTACTGCAAAGGTCTCGCATGCAGTACAGTACCAAACAATACGGATGGAATCGTTCACCTCCAGCTCTGAGATACAAAATTGGCCGAAAGGACGACGTAACTTCATCTTGGCCACCTCGCAGTTTGACTGATACGCTGCCAACTGTGATCAGGCAACTCTGGTCTCTTATCATGCCACCGGTGCCATCACAGCATAGCTGCCGTGTGCCCTTCCTTCGAAGAGCCAGGTGCATAAGTTGATACAGCCCAGTTGGTGAAAACACCACGAAAGCACCTTCGATTCTTTCCTCGAAATTGCTATTCTGTTTGGTTTCTTCATGTTGCAAGACGCTCTTTCTGTACCGGTCAACCACATCACCGCTCCCAAGATTAACGGTCAACAATGCTCCAGGGCCTGACACTTCAAGTGCTGTTGCTATTTCCTCAGGAGACCGATAGTTGCATCGTCGAACGTAGGTGCTTGGCAACTTCAGCTCCCAGTGAGACAGTACTCTGATTAGAACGTCATTGCTTCGAAGATTCGAGAATCCAAACAGTTTCGTCTTGATGTGCGACTCTCTTTGATTGGCTACGTAGTTTCGCAACTGTCTTGTAAAGTGTTCCCTAGCTTCTGTGTGCACAACGTGATGGCGATGATCTAGATACTCGACATCACTCCGAACAGTCTTGGTGATCGATTTCAATACCTCATCAGCTGTGACTCTAAGAATGGAACGTCCTGCTTCTGTCTGATCCGAGACAAACTGCTGTACGAGTGGTAGCAGTGCTGGAGCAATTCCATATTGGTCTTTTGGATTACTGGGTGTCTTCTGCAGGTTGTGATTGTGCTTGCTGTTTGCGAGTCGAATGTAGTTACGAAAACGATGGCTCTCGAGGGATAGCTCTCCCATGTCTCTAGTTTGTCCTCTCCAGGGGCACCTGGTTCTGCTTGGATCTTCCTTGTCTCCAACTCTGCAACAGAACTTGATTGTCTTGGTCCCATCGTTGTTCTTCACGGTACCGTCAGGCCTAAGGCATTGTTTGCTGACTCCGTTGACATCGATAAATCCTCCATACTTTTCATACATTTGCGACTTTGCCAATTCCTTGCTTGCACATGGCAAACAAGCTGGGTCCTCGACGTAATCACGACATTGGGTGGCTTTTCCAGTTGATACAATGCCATCCTGTGATGGATGAGTGACATGGTGGCTAGGAGGTTGAAAGCCAGTTCCATACGCCAATGCAGGGGAGGCATTTTGGGTCCAGCCAGTTGGATAGTACTGCACGTACGCATATGGAGGAGGGTAGGGAACGTACCGGTTGGGGTTCCTGTGGTAGGGCGGTACCTGTGCAGGTGGTGGTGGTGGTGCTGGTGGGGCGAATCTTGACCACTGAAAAGGATGACTATAAGTCTGGGCTCCACCACGAATATTGTCACCAGAGCTTTGCAACCCCACTTCGTCGCCATTCTGCGAGGCATTCTGCGAGCGAATATCCAAATACTGGTACGGTGGCGATGAACGGCGAGACGACATGGCGATACCTAGACAACCACCAAATAACTACAGAGCATTTCTGCGAGTGGATTCACAACTGACTTTATCAAAACTATTTGCTTTAGCGATACTTCAAGCCCGCAGTGTTTACATCCCTACTCCAAAATTGAGTTGCCATGTCGCAAACACCCTCTTTTGGTACTCTGAATGGCGATTCCCAACACCGAATTTTCTTCCAGCATCTCCAAATTGTGAGTTGCAACTGGAGAAGCTCCCGAGTTGACCAGACTGGCAAATCACATGCGTCCTTCCTTAACCAAATTGTTCGAAAGACACACCTTGCGGGCTTTCCCGCCGAGGCATTCCAAGTTTTCCGGTGAAGACGGAGGATGGGCACTTCATTTTTCGAGATCTGCCACCAAGGCAACCATGGCGAGGCAGAAAAACACCGTAAGAGACCAAAAAACGAAGTACTTCCTGTTGTTGTTTGTTTCTATACACAGGCAGAGGTGAGAGTGCGAGAGAGTGCTGAATTGTTTTCCATTGTCTTGTTCCTGGTATCTGATTGTTTCTTCTCCTACATGACAGACATTTGCAATGGTGGGCATCATTTCATCGCGGGTTCCCAGAAGAGTTGGAGATGCGTCACGAGTGCTTTTGCAACGGTAAGTGGTCCACTCCTCATTCGTGCATGTTGCTAACGATTTTTTCAGCGAGCAAGACTAACCCACTCTTTGTTCTCATTATTTCGTCTGCCGGCGCGTTGGCCAATGTGTATGGCCAGGAGTACACAACGCCCGGACGGAGATCATCATTCGTTCTATTCTGTTGCTTTTTAAATTAACAAGCGATTGAAGACTTCGCAACGTAAGAAAGATAGATGACCCTGAAGTTCTGAACGTAAATGGCACGTGACCGGGAAATGCCACTGGCAACTCCCCCCACCGTTCGGACGCGTGTGAAGGCACTTCGGCCAAGGAAACGACGAAGTTTTTCGTGGTTGCTCACAACAAAATTTGTTTGCGGCAATGGCTCGTCTGAAGACCACTCCTGGTCGGCCAGAGGAGCACGACGAGGAGGAGCAATGGATGCAAGATGTCCTTACCAAACGAGCAGAGGCTGCTGCAGGGCAATATCCACTAGACGAACCCGCAAGTGTCGAAACAACTGTTGCGCAAACCGCGAGGGTAGAAAAGCCGCTGACTTCATCGTCTAGCTCAGGGACTGCTGGTGAGATTCAAACTGCTGCTCAGCAAAAGCAAGCAAAACAAAAGCCACCCGCTTCATCGTCTGCCACCACTGGGATCAAGACTGCTCCTCGACATAAGCAAGCAAAGCATAATCCACCCGCTTCATCTTCTGCCACCACTGGGATCAAGACTTCAGCAGCTCGGCGAAGACCAGCAAGACCAGCAAAGTCGGCCTCTTTACCGTCTGCCACTGGGATCAAGCAAAATGGTCGGCAAAAGCCAACAGGAAAATCGCGAACTGCTGTCAGAGGACCGGGTTATTATCATGGGAACCAAAACCTTGGCACCAGTCAGCACAATGATGATGCCGAAATCATGAATATTGTTGCAGAGCGAGCCAGTGTAGCTACAGCAGAGTCCTTGAAAGATTCAGATCGAAAAGAAGACTACTACCGTTCCCAAGAGAAAGAAGACGAGAACGAATGCAATCCAGCAGCAGAAGAAGAAGAAGAAGACGAAGACGAAGACGGCGAACCTGTGCTGCAGACAGCAGCGTGCCAAGCCACAACTCAACCGCTGCATCAACAAGGTCGTCCAGGGGCGTACATGGGTGCTCCAGGTGACAGCTTACACCGCACCACTACTCTTGATTACCGTCATCTGCGTGCTCCTCGTGGCGACTCTGATGAACTATTGGAGACAGGGTCAGCTGGTGGCTTGGAGTCACTCGAATCATTTCGCAACAACGGCAATGATAATACACTCAGCAACCACAGCGGCAAGGATAGTAGCCGGAATCTTGAGGACGTTCCATTGCTGGAGGCGACGCTTGTTACTGATGATGACAGTGCCAAGGGCCATCCTGAATCAAAACATCGATCACGACTTTGCTTGGGAATACTTGCTTTGCTGGTCATTATGGTAATATCTGTTACTGGGATTGTATGTGGCAGTGGTCTTTGCAGTCCAAAAAAAGAAGACTCGAACGTACAGACGACCACTATGGAAGCCAGCAATATCTTCAAGCACAACACTGCCACTGTTCAAATCTTCTCCCAACCCATTGTCATCACACAAACCGTGCTGGTGTTGTCTGATCAAGATCTCGGAGGACCAATCCCAACAGAGATCGCAGAGCTCACCCAACTAACTGAGCTTCTTCTAGATGGCAACTCTTTGACGGGGCCTATCCCGCCAGAGCTTGGGACGCTGACTCACCTAACAGTGTTGGATTTGAGGAACAACCAGCTTTCTGGGACAGTCCCTTCAAACGTTTCTGAGCTCACCCAATTGTCAGAACTTCGACTGGACAACAACTCATTGACTGGGACCATTCCACCAGAGCTTGGGGAACTCACACAGCTCACAATTATGGATCTCACAAAAAATGAACTGACTGGGACAGTCCCTCAAAGTGTTTGCTCGCTTACCCAAGACTACAGTCTTTCTTATGTGGCAGTTGATGATGGAGTTATATGCCCCAGGAAGGATTGTACATGCTCTCCTGGCGATGCAAACTCTGCAATACTTGCACAGCCATTTGACAGTCCAACTTTTGCTTCAGTTGCTCCCTCATTTGTGCCATCTTTGCGCCCCTTGACCACTGAAACTGGAATGCCATCACTTGTGCCAACAGGGATGCCAACAGGCATGCCATCATCATCTGCAACGAGTGGAACTCCGTCATACACGCCAAGCATACTTCCAACTTCAATTCCAACTCCATCCCCATCGGCATGGCCAAGTGGGAGTCCATCAGCTTGGCCAACTGATAGACCATCACCTGCTCCATCAGCAGCTCCATCTGAGACTCCATCAACGGCTCCATCAACGGCTCCATCTGAGACTCCATCAACTTTACCAAGTGAGATCCTATCAACAGCCCCAACAACAGGAGGTACAATGGAAGGTACATCAGAGGGTACCACAGAAGGAGCAACAGTATCAACTGTAGTTGTGGCTGGTCAAGAATACAGCCTATCTGCCACAGTAATGTTTGTTTCTAGTACTTTTTCAGGATCACTTCCAACTGAGATTGGCTTATTGACAGGGCTTCATGGTGAGCATTCATTATCAGGCAAATCATAGTCAACGGGAGCAGCCCATAGAGGTCTCACAACCTTGTCTTCTTCAGGAATTTCATTCAATTCGATTGGTGAACATGTCAACAACCTGTATGGAACTCTTCCAACAGAATTGGGATTGTTGACAAGTTTAATAACGTATGTCAAGGAAGCCATCAGCGTGACAGGATGCTTCCCAGCGACTAACTGCCCTTTCCATTTTTCTCCAATGCTTTTTCCAAAGTTTGGATCTAAGTTACTCGTGGTTCAGTGGAACTCTTCCAACAGAGTTGGGGAGGCTGACTCGCTTGAGTAACCTTCAATTGACATCCAATTCTTTGACTGGGTAAGCACTGCCAGAATGAAATTGCCAATTGAGCATGTCTCTACCACTTCTATGCCTCACAATGTTTTGTGCCTGTAAATGTTGATAGGAGCATACCTACAGAGCTTGGACAGATGACAGCTTGTACCAGCATGGAATTGAATTTGAACAGGCTGAGTGGACCTCTTCCAACAGAGTTGGGGAGACTGACTCTCTTGAATAGCCTTGTATTGACATCCAATTCTTTGACTGGGTAAGCAGTGCCAGAATGAAACTGCCAAGTGAGCATGTCTCTACCACTTCTATGCCTCACAAATACTTGTACATGTAAATGTTGATAGGAGCATACCTACAGAGCTTGGGCAGATGACAGCTTGTACCAGCATGGAATTGAAACTCAATGGGCTGACAGGAGAAGTTCCTCAAAGTGTTTGTTCACTGACTCTAGACTATGACTTGGGTTTTGCTGGTGTTGACTCTGCAGTGGAATGTCCGGCGTCCTGCTGTTGCTACATGTATGATCGTTGTTGCAAAGAAGCAATTGAATCTCGTCGAGGGTTTTCTGGGGAGTCTTCAGGAGAGCATACACAGTGTAGTCCAGAATCGGGCCTGAATGGAACTAGGCGTTAGCAGGCAGTTACTGAAGTTTCTATAAAGGACTCATCTTTTCAAAATAATACATTGACCATAGTCAATTCAATTTGGAGACTTACGCATTGTTGTCACGTCGGACAGAAATCGAAGGCACAAAAAGTTATTCGCTGATGTTCAGGCCAGTCTCATTTTTGAGCCCTCACAATTTGGCGTCACATCCTTCACTGGATGTACCTACCATTATGTTATTAAAAGATTGGAAAGAAATCAACACTGCTAGCATACACTGCTACAACGACAAAATGAGGATCAATCAATCTTAGTATTCTTGCTTTTGTTGGACAAACACTAAAGACAATGTCTGCTAACACAATACAGCTTCTTAGTTGAGTTTAGTAACGAAAGTGAGTGGAGCTGCTAATGACCCTCCACAGAATAATAAAAATAATGCATACAAATAAGGGATCCTCCAACAGACTCCTGTTGTGCTGACACCTAAAGTGGCCAGACACGAAACAAATATGATTGTTGATTGCTGTGTAATCTTTCTCTAAATGGGACTGGAGGTAAAACGGTCGTCACACACACAGCGCTTGTCCTTGCCTCCCCCATAATGCCTATCCAAAGGCACGCTGAGCGTTCGACATCCACGGACTCGGGTTTGCACTTCTGCTGCTGCTCCGGTCTGAACGCACACTTCCTGCTTCATCGCTGTTTGTGCCGACTTCGGCTTCCTGTTTCCTCTTGAGCTTGCGCCACTCGCCGATCATATGTTCTTTCTTCTTACAATAAAAACAGCGGATATTTGATACGGTTACTCCCCTCTTGTAAATTGTTCATGATTTTCTTGCGGTTGTCCTTCGTCTTGCCTCGGAACTTATTGAGCCACGTGACCATTGCTGGGATATCTTTGAGCCATTCCTTACCGTGCTGGTTGTAGTCGTTGACTAACGCATCAATGGCTGGTTTGAATCGTTCATCGAGACTGCTGGTAAAAACACAAACGAGATGCAACTCGCTTGCAGCCTCCTGGACAGGCGTCAACTTTCCTTTCGCAGTGGCCGGAATCATTCCGCCACCCCATGCCTGTTTCGCCATTTTTGCCAGCTGCATATATTCTTGGACGTGGTCTCCGAGACTTGTTTTGGGAGACCTTGCTGGAAATTGTACAACTGCTTGACTGTGTCGGCAACCATCATTGGGCCGTACTGCCCATCATCTTGACTGTATGCCAATGATTCTATCTTCTTCAGTAGCACAACGACATTGTCGTCTTCCTCGCTCCCACTGATCAAACTCTGCGAGATTGACCAATCTTTCCTTGAGGACAGGGTGGGAACACAGACTCTCATAAATGAGTCTAAACACTTGAGATTTCTCTTTCTGGTATCACTCTTCTTTATCCATTTTCCTGGAGAGCGATATCTTGTACTTATTCACGTTCACTTGACTTGGCAGTTTTTTCAGGTTCAGTTGGTTCTTCGAATTCAGTCTCTGTTCTTTTCTTGACCAGAGTCCACATCTGCTTGCCCCATGTCTCACCACAATGATCAGCTAATTTCTCAATCAGCTTCATGCAATTGACCGCCTGTGAGTTCAAACCAATGTTGAATTTTAAATCACCGAATGCTAATTGGGCTGCTTCTGTAGAGAACTTCATTTTTCCAGTGAATTTTGGATCAATTTTATCCTATTTCACTCCTGCAAAATTCGCTCACTCACTCCTGCGCTTAAAAATCCGGCACATGTAGCTGCAGGACGTACAGAGCTAGCTTGACGTGCTTGGTGCTTCAAATGAACGTACGGAGCAATATCTTCTTTGCGTATGGTGACAGCTGCTTTCGCGCAGCATGGAACACACTTGTGAAAAGGCTTGCCTTGGATCGATCTTGATCTGCACTTCAACACGTACACCTCACAAAATTGCGAAATTCCTCTTTTCTTCCGATGAGTGAATCTCCACAAGTTTGCACTCAAATTGCCTCGCACTTGTAGCTATAGAGAGCTCGATACTCCCTGCGAATAGTCTTGGTGTTGTTGTAGTAGTAGCCTCTCATCGAACGCTTATTATCTTCTATCGTATCGGCAGCAGGTAGCCCAGTCATGCTTCCGCTCGAACGTTCCAATTCCACGTATTCCATAGTACTTGATGTTTGTTACCTAGTTGCTTGCTCAGGCAACAGTTCCTCCTGTCAACAATGTTTGGCTGGACACTGCTTATTCCTGTTGAGTTCGTTGACGGTGACGATCTCCTTGATGTCTTCCTTCCTCAATCCGTCGTGACTCTTTCCTTTGTGGGTAATCTGCACTTCTAGAACTGGCTCTGGAGCCACTCCAATATCCAGGTATCCAATACAGGTCGTGCACTGGTGACCAACCAGCTTTCCACTCTGGCACACCTGCAAACTTGTATTCTTCTATTCGATGTGCACAATGGTCTCTGACTGCTGTTGATGCAGTGCTCTTCAAAATGACTGGGTCCTTGAGCCGCTGCAACACTCCTGGTTGCACAGAACTCCTCCTTTCTTTTCTGTCAATGCTATGGGAGAAAGATAGCTTTCAGCACTGGCCTTTCGTTGCTAAAGCAATGTTGGACAAACACTAAAGACAACAACACTGAGGAGAGTTTACCTCAGTCCCTCCCGACTTTAATTGTGAAGCATTTATTTAAGCCTTTTCTACCAAAGCTACACAAGCTTGCGCAACTTAGACAAACACGCAGGAGTAAGATGTTGCATTGGCAAACCACAATACTATTGTTTTACTATACGGATGCACAATGGCTTGTAAACAAATTACATTATTCCTTCTTATTATTACGCCCGCACAGAACATGGTGTGTGTCACGAACTATTGAAAGGTACACTAATACTATACGCTTTTCTTTAATGCAGGATTCGAAATTCAAGCTTATATCTTCTAGTGCGCCCTTACTAATGCCTACGCAGGATGTCTTCGTTACAGGGTAAGTGAAGACATAAGTTGGAAATTCGAATTCTGAAAAAACACGCTTTTACAGACATTAGCATAGTATACTATACCAAGTACTGTATGCATCTACTTCCTAGTTAATTCATGAATATGTACTATTATACTATACGTATTCGCTCTATGCAGGGTTCGTGTTCTGTTTGGCGATTCGATGCATGTTTCAAAGGTCACGCGTACTTAAGCCTGTGCAGGATTCGCTTTACTGGTTACTTGAAAGATATAAGGTCGCTAGTTCGAATCCTGCATACCAACCTTTTTGCATCTTTTACTATACATAATTGTGTACCAATCTACCTACATGTGCAGTCACGAATTCTCGAAAGATGTGTCTTTCTTACATTTATAAATATAAGCCTGTGAAGGATACGAAATGTCCTATTCTTACTAGCCTGTATAGACACATTTACTGTACAGAGTACTGCTAACACAATACAGCTTCTTAGTTGAGTTTAGTAACGAAAGTGAGTGGAGCTGCTAATGACCCTCCACAGAATAATAATAATAATAATGCATACAAATAAGAGATCCTTCAACAGCTTTTTCATTTGAAGTGGTTGCTATTAGAGGTTAATGTGTCAATCCATTCAATGAATTTGTCAAAAAAAAATTGGTGGAAGACTTTTCCAGTGACCTTCTATTTGGTCAAGTGTGAAGAGGTATTGCTATAATCCTTGTTCCAAAAAATGTTGCTGAGAATCTTGACGAAAGTCATTTAGATCCAAGATATAAATATATATGTAAATCATTTTCTCTCCCACCACTCCCTTCCGTGCCAGTAGGTACAACCACAGCTAAATCTCCAAAATTTGCGGAATATTGAAAAAGAGCTCTTTGCAAGTTGAAATAATTGATTCTGATGCACCTCCTTATTAGCCAGCCATTAGAGCAAAGAATTCGTAGACTATGTAATTGTGATGCATATTATGTGACGGCTGAGATTTTCAGCAACAAACTTCTTCGAGCAGAAAATTTTAGCAAGAACCGGCCTATAGTTTGCGCTGAACATTTGAGATTCCAACCCACTTGCAGACCAAGAGCTTGCCTATTGCATGCTATGATGTGAGAGTATTAGTACATGAATTCCACAATGTGGGGTACTATATAAAAGGGTGAGCTCAATCAGCAGTCTATCGCGTCAAAGTTAAATGCAAATTAGGGCTATGTGGAGGAAAAGAAAAAAAGGAAAGCATCCCCGATCATTTGCTATGTTTACCTATAATTTGCTTTCAAGTTGTGACTCTTCACAGCTTTAGGACTAGTTAAGAAAGTTGATCACACAACGTTTCAAAACAAACTACAAGCTGGTGCACTCCCCAGGACATATGAAGTGGCTAGGTACCTACCAAATGAGATGCAAGAAAAGATCGGGTGGGCCCCCAACAACAGAAGGTACAACAGAAGAAAAAACTTTATCAATTGTTGCAGCAACTCCATGTGAGACTGCATCAACAGATACATCTGAGGCTCCATCAACTTTACCAACTGAGATCTTGTCAACAGCCCCAACAACAGAAGATACAAGGGAAACTACATCGGAGAGTACAACGGAAGGAAGAACTGTCCATATTAAGTGTTCCTGTGGCTGGTGAAAATACGGCCTATTTGCCACAGTAATAGTGGTTGACGGAGATGTTTCAGGATAAAGTTCTGAGATTGGTCTATTCACAGCACTTACAGGTGAGCATCAAGTATCACACTTTTAAGTTTGTCATAGTTATTGGGAGCAGCCCGTAGAGGTCTCACAACTTTGTCCTCTTCACAAAACATTCCATTAGGGTATATGCTTGCTGTTAGAACAACAACAAAGAACCTGTATGGAACCATTCCCACAGAATTGGGATTGTTGACAAACTATGAACTTTAGGGCAAGGACTCTAGATTCGTAGTAAAGCAGCTTGCTTGGCTTATTGATTGGAGAAAGGGATTTCCCAGCTCGTCCTCCTATCATAGTTGAGAATAGTTTGAGAAAGATAAGAGAATAAGAAAGAGTGTTGTTTGACCTGAGAAACCCAGAGTAGTAGCATTCCATGACCTTGCAGTAGATATAGAATCCTGTGTGGCATGTGCTAGGGTATTCAATAGTAGCAGCTCCTCAACCATTCCAGCAGCTGGTCTTGACAGCCCAGTGAAGGGAGATCTTCACCAACCAGAGATCTCCCAACCTGGCGCCGGCCAAGGCCTTGGCTAACAGCCTTCTCTAGGCCAGTTAAGGCTCCCTTGCTGCCAACTATCAGGGAGCTTCTCTTTGAGCAATCCTTGGAGGGGAAACCTCCCAAAATCTCATAGACAAACTTACAAGTGTACGTCAAGGAAGATATCAGCATGGCTGACAGCTTCCCAGGGACTAACTGCACTTTCCATTTGTCTCCAATGTTGGACACCAAAGCTTGGATCTACGTTACTCGCTGCTCACTGGAACTCTTCGAATGGAGTTGGGGAGTGCTGACTGCTTTGCGAAGCATTTTATTCAAATCTAATACATTCAGTGGCTGGGTAAGTGGTACCAGAATGAATCTGCAAGTTAGGATGACTCTACCCCTTCTATGCCTCAAAAATGTATGCGCATGTAACTATTGATAGGAGCATACATACAGAGCTTGGACAGTTGATAGCTCTTGACAGCATGGAACTGAAAATGAATCAGTTGAAAGGAGAAGTTCCTGAAAGTGTTTGTTCGTTGGAGCAATTGTCTTTTGCTGACGTTAACTTTGCACTGGAATGTCAAAACTGCTGTTGCTATAATGCATGTTGCCGAAAATCTTGTCAAGGTGGTCGGAAATTTTGATAATTTACAGAAGTTGCATTTCCATAATACTGAAAATCTGAAAATTATGGAATTGAGATCACCACATGTTGGTTGACCAATTCTAGACCTTGCAGGTGCAATACATGGCTCTTAGCCTTATTCGCGACTCGATCCTAGATAGGATTTGAGTTCGACTCATGACTGAGTCTCTCGTGAATAGTCATTGAGACAGGGTTCTCAATGACCGCTCTAGTCATACTAGGTTGATGATGAAACATCGCTCTAGATATTTAGCCAGCGTGGAGTACTTCCACGCTACTAGATAAATGCTAGACGAATCTTCCACGCGTTCCGTTTTTGG